AGTAGCTGGGACTACAGGCGCCTGCCACCATGCCCGGCTAATTTTTTGTATTTTTAGTAGAGACGGGGTTTCACCGTGTTAGCCAGGATGGTCTCGATCTCCTGAACTCGTGATCCACCGGCCTCCCAAAGTGCTGGGATTACAGGCTTGAGCCACTGTGCCCGGCCTGACCAGCCTATTCTTATAGGAAGCTATAGGAAGATTCCGACCACAAGACACGCACTGGTCTTCAGGATCTCCAAAGTTCCAAATCCCTTAGGACCAAAGCTTTTATTGGGTTTGATAAACACATGTTGGAATTAATAAACAAGCAGTGCACCCACCTTTTTGTAATTTAAACTACAACTCCCAAGAGCACCATGAAGTCAGACTACCCCAGCTAGCCAACATCAACTGCTACTGGGAACTAGCAACATGGTGCTACAGGGAAATGTAGTTTTGTTTGTTTGTTTGTTTGTTTTCAGACTCCTTCTTGGGTAGAGAGAATCTTAAAAAAACAGAGGTTTATTTGGGGCGTGAAGCACATTTTCCACACCTCAGAGTCAGGGACTTCCAGTTTTTCACCAAGTCAAACCCCTGCTGCTGGGAGGAATGGCGGGCAAAAGACAAGCTACAACCGTAGGGCCAGTTAAGTCACTGGAACATCCACCCTATGGGCACGGGGTCTGCAGGAATTGTAGTACCACTGCAAACACCTGGCTGGACAGCAGGGCTGGGCCACTTACGGGACTCTCAGTCGCAGGGGCCTCCTCCTTGTTGGGCGCCCCTCGCTCCAGGGGGACAGCCAGCACAGCGCGAAGCAGGACCAGCAGCAGCAACGGTAACAGAAGGAGGGTTCCTCGGGGCCCAGAGGGAGGCATGGCGGTGTGGTCTGTGGGGGACGGAGGGCTGGATAATGCATAATGTCTGTCCCAAGCCTCTTCCTCCCCTGGAACCAGGAGTTCGGGCCTCCAGTGCCGCCCCTACTTCCAAGACTCAGGACACAAGCATTTCGTTACCCAGGCCCCAGGATTCCAGGCCTCCAGCCTTCCCTTCCTCCGACACAGGAGTCCGGGCCCTCAGATCCAGGAGTCCTGGCTCCCAACACGCTCCTCCCTCACACTCAGGAATCCGGGATCTCCTCCTCCCCCAGACCCTAGAGTTCAGGGTGCCAGCCTCCTCTTTTCCCAGGACCTAAAGTACTGGCACCCAGTGCATCCCCCTCGGGGACCCAGTTTTCCAGCCCTGTGGCCCCCATCCCTCCCTAGGACCCAAGAGTCTTGGAATCCTGGCCTCTCACCTCTCCTTCACCGCAGAGGGCGTTTTCCAGGGCTGGCAAGGACCTCCGGTGCGTTCTTGGTGATTTCCCCCCTAGGCCACGCCCACTTTCCACAGAGGCCCCGCCCCAAAGAGGCCTGATTGGTCCACGCTGGCCCCGTACCTTTCATCCACGTCTAGCGGCCCCGCCCCTTGCCGAAGTCGCTCGCATTTTCGTGAAAACCTCGCTTCTGTCTCGGAATCCCAGCCTCTTAACGCCACATTTCCCGCCTATGCCAAAAGAAAGAGAAAGCTTTCAAAGACAACTACAACTCCCTGCCGGCCGGGGGAAAAATAACTTCCGCGGGCATCGTGGCCCCTTCGCCTCATGGGAGCTGTAGTTTTGCCCATTTATTTTCGCCCCACGAAATGCCTGCAATTTACAGCACGGTAGAAATTGCACAGCCTTCCTTATGAGTTTCTTTCTTCTTATTTTTTGAGACAGGGTTTGCTCTGTCACCCAGTCTGGAGTGCAGTGGCGCAATCACTTCTCACTGCAGCCTCTACCTCCCAGGCCCAAGCAATCCTCCTGCGTCAGCCTCCCAAGTAGTTGGGACGACAGGCCCGGTTAATATATATTTTTTTAATTTTTAATAAAAATATTTAAATATTTAATTCTTTTTCAGCCTTTTCTTTTTTTTCTTTCTTTTTTTTTTTTTT